GTTATTGTCATTTAATTGTCGCCAATAGATTTTCATTAGGGTGCAATAGTGTGCATTTTAACCAATGAGCTACCTATCTCCATGTATGCTTACAATTCTTTATCAAAATACAACTTCTATTCTATATGAAAACGTTTCCATGGACTACAAATACAACCTTGGACAGTTTGTGCAGAGGAATTTCAGTAGTTCACCTTACGCTTCACAGGTAATTTGTCTGCTGGCAGAGGGAATAACATTTATAAAATGTTAACAATATTTACTGATCTGAATGTTTTATACATTAATGTAGCGTAACTCATTTCATTATAATCAGGTTATCTTAAAAGGCATATCCCCCCCCCCCCCCCCATAACATTATGTTAATTTATTGAGAACTTGCATATATAGCACCTAAGGTGATTTAAAATCAGGCTGAAACTTGCTAATATCCAGTATCTGTTTTACAAGGGAAACTTGTACAATTTGGATGTAATATAAAGCAACAAGGAGCAGACAGTATCTTAAATATTTTAAATTCCTCTTCTCAGTCTGCTTAAGCTTGTGACCTTGCCACTATTGGGGACATGGGAGCTCGGTCACATATATAGCAACCTTCTTTGGCAATATCTTTAGATATATTGCTTGCAGTTAAACAAGTGGTCTGCTGACCTATTAGTACAATTTTTGTAAAATATACATTCACCTTCTTGTCTGTGGATTTTTCTGGAATACTCTGTTTCATTTAGAGTATTTAGCTGCTATATATTTCCACGTGATAAGCTACTTCGTTGAGCAATCATTTGTGGCCAGGTGTCTTCTGAAAAAATAGAGCAATATAGCTCAGTGGGTCTTAGCTGGTAAAATAAAAAATAGCAAAAAAAAACGTAATTTCCTCATTTTGTATTCCTGATTAAGGAACTGTTGAAACGTCCCAGTGCAGATTTATCTTGCAAAAATAGCCTTGACACTTGGCTGATGCTTCCCTGGATAAGAAAAGGAGAATCTGATTATGTGGTTCAAATATAACTTTGCCTTTAACATACCATCGCTGTCGACTTCACATTGATGCTTACTCCCACAATGATGCCTTCCCACTGCCAAGAGTAGTGATACATGCATTCAAATTCTATTCTCAAGGACCATCAACCTTCACCGGCAGCAAAATCGATTTGTGTTCTTTGATTGTTTCCTTTTAATGCCGCAAGCTCCCTAAATGAACCGGCATCATTAAAGTCTCTGCAGCGGGAGTCTGCTTCATGCATCGTTGCATTCCTGAGCACTTGCAAGTGGAGCCACTGGGTTTTGTAATGCGGTGTAACTTTCACACAAGGAGGTGTCTGATGAGGGTGGTGGGGGAGAGGTGATGTGATCTGTTATGGGGCTGAGTCATTCTCTTCCTCCTAACACCCATGCTTAGATAAGCTGGGAGGCAGTGCCACAGGGCATAAGTACTCGGTTGTAACACAATAAATATTTCAGTCTCTATATTAATTCCACTGCGCCATAGCTTGGCAGTCATTGGGCTTGTACAAAAAATAGTAACAAATGTACTCAATATATAACACCTTTCAGCGCAAGAGTTCTGTTTCACCATGAGGCACATTCTCCTATGTCTCTGCGATGAAGCAATTACCTACAAGTAAACCAAGCCCAGTGCAAGACTGATTGATCAGTTCTAAGAGAAGCTAAACTCGAGTCTAAGGTTAGAGTGACAGATTAAGCACAGCCATAATTACCATTACCCCCAATTCACTCAGGAGAGCTACAACTGGCTGGTTCTCAACACTTTTCAAGAGGGTTATACTCTTCAGTATTTTATTGTACTTTGTTATTTATGTGTGGGAGGACACCAGAGTATTCAGAAAAAAATCCATAATTCAGATAATTAGTCAAAATTAGACGTAGATTTTGGAACCTACTTGCTCTGCTGCTATCATATGTTACTTTGTAATACTTGAAGAAGATGGCTTGCACACATCTTGATCTCTGCATGATCCATTGACTCCACCTCAATTGCAGCCTTTTGCCACCACACCCTGCAGTAGGTGAATTATCAAGCCCCTGTTACGTCTTACCTCAATTTCATTTAATCAGTCATGAGAGCTTTTAAAATTAAATTTGCACCCATTTAGTCATTAATCAACGTTTTCTCTTTGATCCGCTCCGTTGAGTGGAAAGGTAGAGAGATTGTCATCTTTTCTGTTATTTTGGAAGGCTATGGTGGTCTTGTTATGGCCACAACATGTACAGGAACTTAGTTTGAAGTATCTTCTAGAAAATGGTTACTTCCAACAACATAGTACACATCCCAGCACTTTGCTGGTCACAGCATGTACTCCACATTTCGGGGGCGGGGGGGGAATTGCTGCCATTTGGTCCATGAATGTCACGTTATACAGCAACAGGTTTTTGTTTTCAACAGAGGTCACCCTTTCCAACCACTGACTGGGTCCACTCCTCCTTTCTTGTGAGGTCTGGTAAGGTCAGACTTTAACGTGCAGCTACCCTGCAACAATGGTAACAACACAAAACCCTGTGGTCTTTCACGAGACTGAACGGATATCACGATTGAAGAAACCATCACTTTTGAGTATTAAAGAAGAATTGTCGCGTCCTGTGTAGAGAGCCAGTGGCTTTTGAAGTTTTGGATTCAATTACTGGAGCAGGCAAGCGAAAAACAAACACTGCCTCCCCTGACTAGATGGCTTCTCGCGAACAGAAAACTCGAAGCTTTTCATCCCTTCGCAGATGACTGCACAAAATAATAACGGAAAGGAAAAAGATTTTGAATAATAATTGGCATGTGCACTTAGTGTGTCCATCCTCGGCTCAAAGATCAAATGAAATGTAGACCAGATAATAATAGCTGGTCCAAAAGTTTTGCTTCTCTCCCAGATGTTCCTTGTCGGAGAGTGCCTTTATTCAATGGCCTGTCTTGGTTAAGTGAAAAACTCTTATCCAGGTGAAAGCCGATTTGAGATTTTGGTAAGCGTAATTAAATCGGACCGTTATTTTCCACATGGACTTGCGAGTGCTTATTATGTGGGGTACGATAATCCGCATGCACCACTGTGTAGTGTGCGCTGCCATGGCATGTACCGCTTCGTGCAGCATGCAATTTGCACGTACCAATTTATACGCACTGACTTAGTGTATATTCACATACGTGGGCACGCTGGCATTTGCCGTGAGGCACGCTGACTTGCACACGAGATGTGATGTACATCGACGGACATGCGGGAGCACGCTCCACGCAATGCCCATCGAGGTGATGCACATTGACGTGCGCATCCTGGCGTGTATGCGATGTACACTACCGAATGTGCAACATTGCCCGAGGCGTGGCTTGCCTCCATTCACAAGTGCCTGTAATGTTTACACCGCACGCTGACTTGTGTACACTAGTGTGTGTCGTGTTTTGCATACCAATTTGTGTGCTCTTGTTGCTGTGTTGTACACACTGATTAGTGTGTTTGTCTTTGGCATGTTTTGCACAAGTATTTGTTCTGAGTGCTTGTACTGCATTTTGATGTTGTTTTCATGTACTTTATAGCACACTGATGCATACTCATTTATTGACGTGTCTTTCCCCAGTGTTATGGTGATTTGCTTATCATTTACTTTGTGGAATGCTTACAAAACACTGCAGTGTATACTCTTGTGTTGTTTCTTACATTCCTTAGTGTGTCATCTATGCTGGGACCTATGTTTGAATCCCTAGGTGCTGCATTCTCTCATAAATTCTCAGTTATTGAAATGCACTGCACTTGTCATGCATTCTGGAGCTTGTGATGTACACTGCAATGATGTGCATCATTTGACAGGCACTGCACAGTACACAGCAAGCAACGATATATTACAGTTCATTACACGCATAGGGAAACTCTTATCTGCGGTAAATGAGATGCTGATGTGCATTCTTAACTGGTTGTGATTTGTCACGTAACTATCGATTCAAATGGATTTCACACTCAATGCATGCATCAAATAGATGAAATAAGAATAGTTAATTTCATATTCCTATAATTGTATGCAAATTCAGGCTAATATTTTGGAATGAACTAAACAACTAAGATGGCAGAGACAAGACCAACAAGCTAAAACTGAACTCATTCTTCAGTTTAGTTGTAACCTATAATAATGACAGTCCAATCTTATTGGAACGGTGAATTGTAATAACATGCCTACTTGTGATGCTACACTACTGGCATGAGTCCTGCAGCGTTGGTGGTGCCTGTGCCGTACAGTGATATGCACACTATCATTGCTTGTCATGTACTGCACAGTGGCATGCATTAACCAGGGCTTGTCATGCACCACACGTCATTCATTCTAGTCCATGTGATGTACAGCACTTTGTTACAAATTATCCAGTGCTTGTGATGAATGGCGTTGTATCCTGACCTGCGTTCTTCCGTGCTTGTAATGTACTATACCTTGATGTACCTTCAGGTGTTTGTGGTGCATTTCACTTTGACATGTATTCTATGCCTTGTCATGTACGACTCCAATGCCCATTTTTCGGTGCTTGTGAAGTCCTGAACATCAACATTGATTCCAGTCCTTCGGCATGTACTACACTCTGAAATACATTTTGCATTGGTTACCATGTACTGCACATTGACACTGATATTAGTGCTCATCATAAAACACATATTCACAGTAATTTTCTTACTTTTATATACTTCTTTACAGACATGAATCCCATTACATGGCATGTACTACACCATGACTATCAATTGCTCATTGACATTAATTTTCACACTTTTATTAATTATTGTACTTTTATGTATATGAACGCTAATTCCATTACTTTTCACGTACAGTACCGTGCCTTGACATTCATCCAAGTGAATTCTAACTTTTCCCATGTGCTGCATAGTCACGAGAGGTTTTGTTGCGTTAATCCACGTTGACACGGATTCCTTATTGCGCGACGCACTTTTGCTGTGCACTGGCCAGCAACTCGACATGCACGTGTGTGCTTGCGTGCCGTCGGTCCCTGCGTGGGTGCGCAGGCAAAGGTGTGGATGTGCAACCCCAACTGGAGCTGGCTCTGCAGGACGTCAACGACTCGTATCTGTTGTTGGAGGAGACGGAGAAAGGCGCCGTGCGCCGTGCGCTTATCGAGGAGCGTGGCCGCTTCTGCACCTTCGTGTACCACCTACGGCCCGTGCTGGTAACCAGGGAGTTAGAAGTGGGGTGATCAGGTGGGGCTGTCTGTCGCGGGGCTCAGATCTGAGGGAAGTGCTCAGAGGGGGCCTTGTCTGGCATTTTGCCACCAACAACTTTTGGCGGCCATGCCGGCAACAGTTGTGATGCTCAAAGCGTGCAAGAGATCCGTGGCAACAATGGACGCGCATCGCAGAGGCGTAAATTACTGGTTCGCACCTGTGGCAGTGAGGTATGCTTGTGGCAGTGATGAGTGCCTCTGGTGGTGATGTGTGACTGTCGTAAAGATGCACTCTTTTGGCATTGTGTGCATGTAGCAATGAGTTATTCCTGTGGCAGTGATGAGTGCATGTAGCAGTGATCGTGGAAACCTGGTTGGTGGATCATGCAGAGATGGGAGCCTGCGTGAAACACCCCCTTGGCAGGGCAGAGGTGAACCCCTTGTAAGAGGCAGTTTGTGGTGTACAGTAGATCATCGCTTATCCGGCAGCTCCAGGGGGGTGAGGAGGTGCAGGAATTTCTAAAATGCCAGGTAATCACTAAGTTATTATTTAGAATAGCTTATTTTTGCACATTCTGTTCGGTATATTTTTTAGTGTTTAAAATTGGCATAAATAAACATACAAATAGACAAAAATAAACATCCTACTTTAAAAGTTACCGTATTTCTGTACCGTACTTACCACTCCAATCTCGAAGACTGCCTGGGTGGATGTATATATACGTGCAGTATTGTCATTGTTTAAGTTGTATGTAGTGTATAGTGTACTGTTTATAATATTTGACACTGAAATCAAGCATAGCTACTTTTTTTGTCACGGACATGGTGCCGATCTCCGGACTGGTACAGCCTTTGGAGTAGTTTTGCCAGTTTTGCTGGATCGGTTTGGGACCACCGGATAATGTTAGAAGCCTGATAATCTCACCCCGGATAATCGATGATCAACTATAGATTACAGGTGGAATACCTCTGCCAATTTGAGCATCTCTTCTCATTTGTGGGGTTTCATCCCTTGTACAAAAAAAAGTATGACAGCAAATGGGCAAAATGCCAAAGCAGGGCCCATCTGAAAGCATATATTCAGACTTTGAAGCTTGCATTGGAAAATATGTTAATTGTTTAAATTAATTATACAAACAACATTGTCGCTTTGTGCTGAAATTGTTTGAGCACATTTGTTATTGTTAGAAAATACAGGAGGTAGGATGGTTCTCAGTTTATTGTTGTGTTCATTTAACAATAGGCAAAGAAAATATAGATTTACTTGTATTGTTTACAACGTATTTTCTTCAGAAATTAGAAAAGAGGTTTTATTGGATGAAACATAATCTGCTGTAACAAAACATGTTTACGGAAAATATTTCTAGGATTTGGAAATAGTTTAACAACCTATGCGCTGCAGATATTTCAGGGAATTATTTATATAGTTTCCCCATCGATCTGCTTTTTTATCCTCATCAAATCATGTTGCATGGTTTAGCTCCCTTCAGCAACATTGCAACTTGGAATTTTAAATTAGTTTTGTCCCAGTAAAGTCTCTAATGTGAACATTATCATTGAAAAATGTTGCAAGAGCATGCCTTTGTACTCTTTAAAAACATAGTTTTTGCCCATTCGAACCCTACTCCAGTTAGAAGTGAATTTTATTGATAGTTGTCTTGCCGGGGCATGAAACAACTCTGCTGTGCTATAAATATTCCCCATTTGCTATTCTGCTGCTGCATAACACTTGGAACAAAGATAATTAATACCGAAAAAAACTAAATGTGATGCATCGTTTTCTCAATAAAATCTGAGGCAAGGAGGCCATCTCGCTCATAGGTCAAAGTGCCGAGTTGACACTGCTGAAATTCTGGTTTCCAATCCAAGGCAGCTGCCTCTGATTAAACTGACTTCTGTGTAGTGATTTAATGGTTCTCAGCCTGGTCACCACTGACTACAAAAAGCCATGACATTAAATGTGATTCTGCACTTAATTTGGTCATATTCCAGCTTTGATCATTACACATTTTGGTTTGACAGTCATTCACCGAGCATTATTCTGAGAGGGGTGGAAAAGTACTGACCATAACTGTGTGGACTCGAGGTCATTTGAATGGATCTCATAAATATTTCCATGATATATGTTCTCATGAGCAATTGTCCAACATAAAGGGTTCCACTGCTCTGCAAGATATCTGAAGCAATTCTTAATATCATGACAGGACACTGATAGCTCTATAGGGATAAAATTGTGCGTAGAAAGGTAATGGTTTGTTTGCATGTATTGGTACCTTTCTGTGTTGTTCATCATTCATTGTTGCTTTCCTCGCATATTTTCAGGACCAGGAGATTTCCATGTTGGAGGAAGTCACTCATCTGCAGACCATAGTGCAGGACCTGACCAACATGACCTCCGATCCTCACAGGCTGCCCCCAGCCAGTGAGCAGGTAATACTGTCAAGGTCTTTACACCGCTGGTGCAGCATAGCATGAATGCGTTGCTGTGATTTAACTGCACAGAAATTGCTCTTGTAGCTGGAGCTTGACATTATTGCTTCAAATTACAATCAACAACAGGTACGACTGGCAGAATGTCCACTGCACACTCAGAAGGACAAAGCTTGGGCATATGTATGTTGAACTTCTTTTGCCACCGTACATAGCCAACCGTGCTAATTGGAGGCGCGGAAAAAAAATTGGAGGTGCGGGGGAATGAAAATCGGAGGTGCGGGCGAAGGAAAGGGGTCAACTCGGCATTCTGTCCAGTCAAGGTTACTAAAATTAATACTACTTTGTGGGAAGTTGACAATGGTTGTCCGTTTGCTGCATATGAGACTCGAATTGGAAACTGGTCTCGTGTTTTCTTTACTTACACATGATCCTAGACACAATACAGATATCTTGCATGTTTAATTGAATACCTTCAATCTGCTAACACAGTGCTTAGCTATCATATTAATAATCAAGTTTTTAAAATACTTCCGTTGATGACTAATCAACTAATTATTGCAGCTGTACTTCAGACTGAATCTTGTGTCTCATTGCATCAGCGCACTAATAGTTCATGAGGCTGGTTCTGTATCCCTGCTTTTGACCTCTACAAACATTCTGCTCATTGCCTGTCCTCGTAACTCCTTGCACGTTTCAAATGCAGGCTGAAGAGCCATTCGTTGCCTATCCCCATATGAATAATTCATTTAAACCTTGCGTTATTCTACATTTCTCTGTTTTTGTTTAATTCTGTATGCAATCATGCATTTGTGTGTAAAGCTGCCCATGTCTTCGTGCTTCACTCCCCACTTAAGCACCATGATTTTATATCCCTAAAAGGCAGTGTCCTGGCTACTCCTTTTTATTTGTGTTGTGATCAGGGGTGTGTCACGGCTTTATGAAGCGATGTGCAAAGTAAAAAAAGAACATAGGCACAGCCTGGTAGGGGGGGCCCTCTTGCATTTACCTCTTCTTGTGTCTGAGTTTTTTAGACCTTTATAAAACCTTATACTGTCAACGCATGCATGTGTGTGTGTAGCCGTGTGCACTCGTAGTATGGGACAAGTGATAAATTAACCATGGCACTCAGAAAATGTATCGTTTCCTCCGTTCCACTACCTTCCGCACGAAAGTTAATTATGTTAATATAAAACACTTTTCTTTGGCAACAGCATTTGCAGAATTACGTGGGCATTTTGTGGTCACGTTTTAGCCTTAGAAGAATAAAGAGGTTGCCTGTGTAGAAAATATTTTTTTGTTTTAGTCAGCTAGATGAATGTAATAGAAAAAGAGTCATGACGTAAATTCACAAAGAAACCAAGTAAATACATGAATACATTGAGTGAAATTAAATGGCATGGATGCATGAACACATTAGGTCTATTTGTAGTATTTATTTCAAAAAAAATCCTGCCCAAGTCACAACAGTGTTTATCGAGGTCTGTAAATAAGAACTGCAGTGTGGTACTTACTGCAAAGTGCTATTGGCTTGCTTTGATTGCTGGCCATGTGCAACACTCATGACAATGAGTATTTCAGGTGGAGAACCTTGCCATTGCAGAGACAAAGGTGGCTGGGCATGTGTGGTGCTCGTCGTACAATTCCCTTTCGTGCCATGCTGGTCATCATGGCTTTTTTCTGAAAGCGGCTTGCCTCAGCAGTTTATAGTTAATACGTATAGGTCACAATCTGCAGGGGGGGGAATTGTACACTGAAACAAATCAAATGTGGAGACATAAATTCCATATGGACAATCTACATCCATCGCCCTTTTGTGAAGCCACTGATGGGTGAAGGTCTCACCATGCCATGTAGGTTGTGGGAGTTATTTGATCACCATTCACTACGCTGATCAGTGCGGGTTGGTGTAGGCAGGGAGCAATGACGGTGCGCAGTGCAATACAAGAATATATTTTTCTGCACTGACTTCTGCCGACAATGTAGTCATAATGTGTTTCACTTGTGTACACATGACGATTGTGCAGTGTTTTTACATACAAGGTTGGTAAAACAATATTGAGAAACAATCACCCAGATGAAAGTAGCACCAACATTAAATTAGTTTGATTTAAAACCCCTGCATTGATGTACTAGTTGTAGTATAGGTGCACTGATGTGCGGAGTAAAGTCAGTGCCCATATAGCAAAGGAAGATGCATCCTAAAAAAAGATATCGTTTTGTAGATATGTACCCAGACTGGGTGTTTCCAGACTGTTTGACTCAAGCTTGCAGCATCGTTTATGAGGGGGGGGAAATATTCAGAAATCCCAGTTGAACACAATGTCCTAGTACTCTAGTGATGTTGTTATTAAAATATATAGAAGTGGCTTCACACTGCTAAAATGACATGCCTGACGTGTTTTTTTTTCTCATATATACAAAGGTTCCAACTTATATTTGGCAATCATAATTACATGTATGCGAGAAACTAGCTGTTGTATTACATCTTGCTTAAAACAAGCACTGGTGAGGTTCATTGTCAGCTTTGAGCCAGTGGTGGACACTCCACATTCCCATTACATGGTCTAGTTTCTATAGGGCAACCACTGTTGACTTCTCAAAAATAGACCTAATTTTATCAACCCTGGACGGATGATTAATTGAGTTGAATCTCAACCAGAAATTTAAACTCGCAACTTTACATTTGTTAGTAAAGTACGACGTCGAGTTGACTATTGAAGGATGACCGGCATGAGAAATGCACGCAGGGCTGTGCATGCTTTTAATTTAAATATAGTGCGTTGCTGCGTATCCAATTCAATGGGGACTGAGGTATAGGCAGATGTGAAAAAGTGGCCATTTAAATATCTGTAAAAAAAGTGTAAAAGTCAGATTTGTGAACACCAATAGAAAATAAAACTTACACCGTGCACAAATATTTAAATATGTGACTGTAAAAACTATTATTTAGTACAATCGGTATCCGTACCATTCTTACAACACACTGATATCAATATATCAGTTGCCTTTTCTCACAAGTAATTCAGTTCTTCTCGTGTATGCGAGACAGCTTTAAAGTGTAAGTGCCAAATTACATATTTTTCATGAAGACACTTGGGGCATGAGGCTGCATGCTTTTATTGCTTCGTGACCCCAAAGCCAAGCACAGGGAGCGAGCAGCTGGCAGCAGGGGTTAACAGTTGGTTTTGTGTTGTGTTGCTTGGATTTTTATTGCAGGTAATTTTAGACTTGAAGGGCTCGGATTTCAGCTGGAAAATCCACACCCCACCCGCCTCGCCGAGCCTCACAGCTTCCTCCCGCCGCTCTAGCGTCAGCAGGTAAGAAGAACGCCACCCGCGGCAGTGGCAGCCCCGTGTGTACAAGTCACAAAGAGGTGCCCAGGTGGTTCAGAAGTTAAAACGCTGAGCTTTTGCACCGCTGTGAATCCTGGGTTCAAATCTGGGCAACTGCCTGTGGTTTAAACTTTTCCTGATGACGACCGCTTGTGTTGCGATCGAAACGTCGTAGTTTTTTGTTATTTTCTTCCTGCAGTCACGAAAGCTTTAAGTCAAGATTTTACTTGCATTACGTTGGGTTTGGCATTTAATTTGGCTAAAATCAGCTCTGGGAATTTAAATATATCAGTTTGATTTGCATGCAATGAAAATTACTCTCTGGTACAGCGTTGAGGCTAGTTGAAGGGGTCTCAGAAGTGGTTCTCTGATATCGGTTTCCTTGACCGGTTACCCTGCTCTGTAAGAGGTGTAAAATGGCTCATTTGTTTCATGATTTGACGCTGATGGTACAATAGGGAAAAAAATGGGGAAAAGATAAAGAAAGAAGAAGAATTAAACGATCAAATGACATGCAGCTGTTGTGTGGGCATGTTCTGCAGTGTGGCCCCTCCAACGCACCTGAGCAGCCGTTTCTACAGCGTGTCATCCCGTGACTCTGGATTCCCAGCCGCTGACGCCGCCTCCCTCACGCCCCCCGACACTCAGGTAGGCACGCACACGCATATGTGTGTCGCTTAACGGAACCCACAGATTCGGGGATTCCGCAGATTGAGAAGGGCAGTGTATGACCAAGATCTTAAGTCCAAAGCCTTGAGGTTCAATGTCTCTCAGGAGGTCATTCATTGTCTGTGAAAGAGCCCTTGAGCACCTTTTGAGAGTCTGGATTCAAGCCCTGAGGGGTTTGTTTCTCTGAGGGGAGGCTGTTATGTGTGTCGCCGTATTGAGCCAGTACCGCTAAGTTTCAGGGGTTTAAGCAAGAGGGCTGCCTCTCTCTTAGCGGACTTGTGTCCATGCCAGGGAACGGAGCCAGTGCTGAGTCGCCACTGAAAGGAACAATTTCTTAAGAGCAGATAAGTCAAGGTGTTGTACCAAATACTGAGAGAGGTTCCTCCTGGCCAAGTTCCCAGCGAGTTCCCTTTCCTATCGCCAAGTCTCAACAGTAACGGTCAGTCTGATGCGGCCACAGTGCTGGTGGCCAACTCCTTAGCCTCCTCTCGTGCCAGAACCTGGTGGAAGGGATCAACGAAGGGGGAAGTGCGCCACTTAAATGTCGGGAGTCCGATTATTTTATCACAGCCAAAAGTGACTCAAAAATATACAAAGGTATTATTATGACTCTTAAATCGAACTTTGTACACGCAATCTCCATTTATATCTTATAATTAGACTGACACAATTTGTTTGAAAGTGTGTTTATATGTTTGCATCTTTCTCTGGTTTTGCCCTTAGAAAATATTACTTTGGAAAAAACAGTTCACAATTTGGTCCAGGATATATAGCAGCTTTGTACTGAATGAATCACAGCTGGTACAGCACAACCTAGTGGATGATTACAGACAGAATTTTACTGCTTTAGAGTTGAACTCTAAATGTTCAGTGCAATTTGGGCATTTAAATTTAATAGTGCCTGGAAATATATTGACTGCAATGGTTCGCAATGTATATCTATCTCAACATTACATTTAGTCGAAGCTTGTACTGTAAATGTAGTACCCTTTGAAGTTTCCTACAGCAGCAACACATTATTGGCTGAGAAGTGATCGAGGGCAGGCCTAGTCCACTATGTGATTGTGAAACAAAATATGGCTTTAAAAAGTAGAGAAAATGTCAAACCATCAGGCTGTGAATTATCCGATGCAATGTAGAGTAAATTTCGATATAAAGCTTTCGTGACTGCAGGGATTCATCTTCTTGGTTCTTTCGGTAAAGTCACGTAGAAGGAAAATTTTCCTTCTACTTGACTTTACCGAAAGAATCAAGAACAACAATGTAGAGTAGTGCTTACTTACGCTGCATGTTAATGCAGTTGACTCCCACTGATGTGGATAATTGGCCTCTTACAAGTCATAAAACCCTGAGTTGGTGTAAATTCATAAATTCACAGCTGTACTTGGTAATGACAGTGTGTAGGAAGCATGTCACTTGTCCTGTATAATGGAGTGCTATGTATTCTTTACCTAAACAGATGGTAGCCGTCTTGGTTTCTCTATTTCCTTTGTTATTGCAAAAATCTTGGAGACCATAATTGTATATTGGCAGCTATTCTAAAAATTTTTACTGCCTGTAATTTTCTAACATAGCATATTACCAAAAACATATTGTAACACCACTGTAATAACACTGATTTAATAAATGTGGAACATTTCAGGCAGCAGCACATCTTTTACAAATACTGTTTTGCCAGGATGCTGCTGTGGTGTTAATAATTGGCACACTGGACTTGCAATCCAAAGGTCATCAAGTCTGTTCTATCTCTCTACGCAGCAGTTGAAACAGTCGACAGGTTTGTTAAATCCCTCTTGTCAACCCAGCAGTATAAATGGGTACATAGGGTGAAATGTGTTTATTCCCACAATACTGAAAGTCTGGCCAGAGTGGAAGAGTACGCCAAATATATTTTAGAAGTACTCCAGAGTGCTCTCTCTACTGTACCGTGTGAGCAAGCCACGTTAAGGGTTGCACCTTAACCTATCTTAGAATTTACTTTGCCGCAGACTGTAATTCCCAGAAGATATTACCAGGCAACAGCAGCACTTACAAACTGACCTGGTGGCACAGGCACCAATACTTGTGTTACCCAGGTACACAACGTAGCAGCTCTTGGGGTTTCAGGACAACTGCTTGCCATCAAATTAGGGAAAGCACCTGGGTGGTACTTCTGCAAGTAATCCAAACACTTATTTGTTTTAAATATTTGCTTCCACATGTGAACTAAACTATAAACTGAACTTGTTTTTACCAGGTAAGGCCCACTGAGCTATATAGCTTTTTTAGAAGCAACCTGGCCAAAAATGTTAGCTCAATGAAGTGGTTTATCATATGGAAATGTATAGCAGCCAAGTACTCTTAAACACACGTTTCTAATTGTGGAGGAAAGACTGGAGGATCCAAAGGAAAATCGACGTGACCACGGGGAGAGAGACACGCAAACTCCAAATATACAGGCATCAGGGTTGGGACGGAAATCACGCCTTCCTGAATACCAGGCGAGGTAGTTAACATCTCGCCACCGCAGCAGGCTGGCTGAAGGTGCTCATAATGACCATCTTAGTACCGCTCAGCCAGCAATGCTGAGATTCTGAGGTTGGATCCAAGAAGCTTGCTGTGAATTAAACTAGGTTTGCGAGTGAAACGAGTCAATGGTTTCAGCCTGGTGGGCTATGAATGCACACACCTGGCAGGTGTCATTTTGTCAGTTTGATATATTCCAGGTTTTTGTTTCAGTGCCATGTGACAAATAACCTTTACCACGTCTATAAAACAAGTGTACCTGTAGAGTAGATAAGAGGTCTAATCGTGTCATTTTAGAAGTAATTCAAATTGGATAATAATGCTGTGACTGTTCCTTGACACAATGTGATGTTACGCCACTTATCGTGTGCATTTCAAATGGAAATATCTTCATCCCATTATATAATTGTGGTAGCACAGTTGGAATATAATTAGGAACAAACATTAAATGTCTCTACATATATAAAAAGGAAAATTGGCTATTTTCTGAGACATGTAAACCCGAGTTCATATTGAGCTCCACTCCAGTGAATGGTGGCTTGACTATTAGTAGCAGTCGCCACCTGTGGTTCTACTTAGGCACTTTCCTTTTTACAGTAAATTCCCCCATGTCCAAAGTATGCACTCCCAGAAGGCTGTGGGGCCGATGGGTTGTGTAAGAAATACTTAATTTTTTATGTCGCGTTATAGAAATATGAAGGAGAAATTGGTCATCTATTTGGTTATTTATATCTTCAATGACACAAATTATTATTTTGTGTAAATGTTATATAATTTTGCTTCAAACTAAGACCCATATATTAAATAAAAGGTCTTTGCTTCTAGAATCTGGCAAGTCTGACTCTGCTGATGAGACACTGTATGTCAAAACTGGTCCAGAATTTGCATGTACTGAGTCAATGCTGCAGGAATTGTGTGCTTCCAGAAAGCCCACGGGACTGATGGGTTGTGTAAAAGATACTTTAAATGTTTGGAATGGAGATCCAGATATATGAAGGAGATATTGTTTGCTTATCTGTTCCCCTTTGTCAGGGGTGGGTAACCTATGATCCACAGGTTCTATTCGGCACACTTCTTCATTGCATTTGTTCCACTCGGCCTACCACTTTCAAATGACCTGCAAACAATATAAATCCATCGCTGCAATCATCTTCGCCATACTAATTTGGTACTAGAGGATAGTATCTTTTTAACTTTTAACAACACTGTGTTGTAATTATAACCCACTCAAGTCACTTCTGTCTCTGCAAGGTCCTCATGCATTTACAGAAGTTACCGAGTTGTGTATGTGTGTGTCAATGTGTGGCCCGCCACAGCTTTTTGAAACTCCTAATCTGCCCTCACGAAGAAAAAGGTTCCCCACCCCTGCCCTTACATCTCTAAGCCTCCACTCCGATCAAAGATAATTGCCCAACATTACGAAGAGTTGATGCGCACCCACTGATGCCCACACTCTTCTCCGCCTGTCCCACGCAAACGCCTGTGCGACGCGATGCAGACAAAAGTGCCTAGCCCGGCGTCGTCCGACACCTCGGAGGCTTGCCTCTCCACCAGCGACTGTAGCTCGCCATCCTCCACTAGCACTGGCTCCACGCAGGGCGCCGCACTCAAGGCGGACAAGGTGTGCGCTCCGTGTCGGCATCGGAAAGAACAACAAGAGGGAACGGGGGGGGGGGGGACGGTGAATGGTGGCGGCTGCCGCAGGCCGATCCGGGCCTGCCAGGGCCTCCCATTCTGGCATCACTCGCTCCATTCACTCCCTTGGCATCGTGGGATGCTCCTGTCACTCAAGTGCATAAACGCCACCGCGGGAAAAATCAGCGGCAGAGAACGTAGCTGCAGGATTGCAAGAAAATTGGACAAGAACGTTTTTTTTTTACGGTAATTAGCGGCACAATCTTCTGCTAATTTGCAGTAAATGAGGGGGTTGCTTGTGAAATTAGCAGGCTTAGCTAATTTTTGTGGTTAAATATTACAAACAGAACATACTCCAAATTAAAAAAAGCCGACATTTATTTTCAGTCTCTGCTTTGATTTTTTTTCATTCTAATTCACTGTCTTACACCAGCTAAATTATGTATAAAAAGATAAAACTGTTGTGCAGAACAATTCAGACTACATTTGGGTGCTCCGATGCCCTCTCTGTGTAACACTATCGGCCAATGTAAATTAAAAAGGAATTCCGGGCGCGTGGAGGAGCCCAGGTGCGGTGAGCATTTACATCGAGACAGCCCTGGATGCGCTCGGGGACGTGGTCACCATCAGCACGGCTGCATGCATCGGGCCATTGACATGTCATCTGTTCTGCCGGCAACACAGATCCACAGTGGCGCTCAACGTTACCTCCCCGGGCACTGTGGGTGTTTTCAGTGTGCCACAGGTAGCAGAAGGGGGTCGGTGGTGGTGGTGGTGGGTTTGTGCCATAAGCAAAGCTCCATGAGGCACACAAGTTGTGGCGGTTCTGCGGCAGAGACACCACGGGCCGTCACAATCGAGGCTTTTTACACCACAGACCTCCTGCCACCTGTAGCATGGCAAAAGCACTCTGCTCTCCCTGGGGTGCTACCTTGTGCCATTATGGCACCCATTTTGCCTGTCCATACCATGTTTGTCAATCAGTTCTGGCCATTGATGTTGTTGTTGTTGTGAAAGCTGAGCCGAGTGCCAGGGTGGTTTGTTTATTTATTTAATTTGCTTTGTTTTCCGGGAAGTGCTGTCAAGCTGCGAGCTATAATGTTACATGAAAGTTAGTACAGTGAATGACTAATTGCCATTTGTTTAATTATATATGTAAGAAATATTTGATAATTTGTTTATAGTGTTCAATCTGAAATACAACACTAAATTGGTTTTTAACAACTTACAGATTAGTTTATAGCGCTGTGGAGTGTTTTCTAAATTGCACTCGTGCGTGTCGTAAGTCCTGTTTCTTCTCGTGCCGTTCCCTGAAATAAAAGCTGGGTCTGTTGGCGCACGCGTGTAATCCAGCAACTTGCACGAAGCACGATTCCTCAAATGCGTGGGTTGCTTCTGGGAAATCGTGCAAAATATACTCGAGAAAGAATTGAGCCAATAGCCAAAGAGCCTTTAGACTCAACACTTATCAGGATATAGGGATGAATTATTGGTTTAAAACGAACTCGAGGGCTAATTTGTAAGAAAGCTATGTAAGCTTGACAGCGCTATCTCGTGTGAAGGTGATAAAGCACTCGTAAACAACTCGCCCACAAGCCCCGTGCTCTGTGTTTGAAACATGGTGAATGGAGTCTTGTAAATCTGCACATGAACCCTGATGCACACATTAATTCAATTACCATCATCTCACTTAATTCTCATTCCGATTACTACACACATTGCATTCCACACACCAACAATGGTGTGGACACTTACCGATAATCCAGTGTTTTGGAAGCAGTGGTGGTGTGGCTCTCGGAGACTAAACCATTATGTTCACTTACCTGAAAGGGAATGAGGTATCTCTATGAGGTAGTAGAGCAAATAGGTGGCAAGGAGGCTTTATTCAGAATGAAAGCTTTTGCCATGCATTACAAAGAGTATTGTCAAATAAAGTCAGTTTTACCGTGCTCAAATGAGCATGAGGTGGTGTTCATTTCCATTCATAGCTCGTTCCCGCATTTTCACGTTGCTCTTATGGGGGCCAGTCTCAATTGTACAGCCACTGTTGACTTCCCACAAAGTGCTACTCGTTTCATTGAGCCCGCACCGAGAAGCCCTTGAGGTTATCGTAGGTGAGAATTCAATGCGCAACCTCATACATTTGATTTCTTACATTAACATCAATAGCCCCGCCCACTTCGTTTATGACCCTTGGGCTACGCCCATTTCAAACCTTTAAAACAGTCTGCCTCAGCAGCTTTCCTCTCTTTTTTCCTCCTGATGACGACCGCTTGCGTTGCGATCGAAACGTCGTAGTTATTGTTTATTTTATTAGTTTGAACTTATCTACGTGACTTTACCGAAAGACCCAAAGAATATGAATTCCTGCAGTCACGAAAGTCAAGACTTATACATTTGACTTTCACAGTCTAATCGAAGTGCTGTCCGTGTGGAAAATATTATTGCGGCATCATCGTCTGCTTGTTCCTCAGCTTCTGGTATAATGTGCAAAAGCCCAAAACACCAAGTAGCCAGCAACACAAAGCACTTTTAAAGGTGTAATAGATAAGAATTAATATGCTTCTTGAATTAATCTGAATTTAAAATAACAAAAAAAGAGACAAGAGCGATCATAAGATGTGGGAGCCTTCTTATATTATTTGTATTATTTATTTAACAGGGAGATGAAATACATCCATGAAACATTGCCTCTTTTTCAAGAGTGATCTGAGTTACATCTAGGACAATTTAATTAACTGCAGTGGAGCAATTCACATTAAAAGTGTGCAGTGTTAGTTGTAAGCACTCTGCCACAGCAGCACCCCACAGGATGACTATTATCATCATGACAACGTGAAACATTTAAAACGTGAGGTTAAGTGCAGATTTCCAATGGCCCCTTTCAACCGCAGCGTTGGGCGCACCGCAGCGGCGATGTTAGCGACGTGATGGTGACGCTGACGTTGTCGCCCCCCCCCACCGACAGTCGCTGTGTGGCTGTGACCGTGGCCGTGAGTTTGAGCCCGCGGTACCTCCGCCTCCCGCGGAGCCCGCGCCATCCATCATGCCCATGCTCCACCACCCCCGCTCGCTTGCCCACCGGCCCGCCTCGCTCGCCTTCCCTCCCTACCATCACCAGCACGCCGCCCGCAGCCCACGTGCCTCATACCACCAGCGCATTGCGTGCAAGGTTTGGATCCCATACCCCCCCCCCGCGTCGTGGCGGCGCGATGTGCGACGAGCAAGATGAGACGCAACGTGACGGCACTACAGCCAGAAAACACTGCAACACTGCGTTGGGGCGGCTGAATAGAATGTTACGTACATAAATATTAACAAATGCCAACGACTCACCATCTTCTTCGTCAACACTGCCTTGCGACAGAAAAATGACAGGCTAGCGGTTTTGGGCAATGACCCCTTTTGCAGGATCAGTCGTTGATCAAAATGTTAGACTCCTATATATTCTATCGTAAGGCATATATTATGACAAAGGTGGTGCGATGTTGTTCTTTTACAGAGCATTGGCACCAACGCAGTTCTTGATTATTATATTTTTTTTCATTAGAATTATGCATTTTTATTGACTTGTGCCCAAAGTATAATTAAGTCGAAGTCAAAATTTGGTGCCTTTAATCAAGTGAGTGTGGGAGCCTTTTCATCCCCTAAAAGGAGAAGAAAAATATAGGTTACGGTTTGGACAATGGCCCTTTAATATATTCTACCTACAATATATTTTCCGAGAAAATCGTCAAAACCCAAATTGTTAAATGTGGCTGCTGATTGGCTGCTGATTGGCTTGACCGTGGTGAAGAGCACCACTTCATTAGCACTTGGCAGACACCGCTTCCTCTGGCCATCGCCGTCGCGTGGCATTTCCGCACCTTCGATTAGCACGCTTGGCTACGTACGGTGCGAAAGAAGTTCAGCATACATACATTTCGCGTCCACACAATGCGATCTTTCTCGCCGAAAGTCATCAAGCGTGGGGAGAAACTACACTCTACCAGCAGGAGAGCAACTGCACCTTGTGACGCCTCAGTCTGTTCTTGCTAAGCAAGTCTTGCTTCATATAGCCGACAATTGTTTTTAATTAGTGGGGCCGCCTTCGTGTTTTAGATAAACGCTGTGAGCGCCAATAATTTTTACTGTGCTCTATCGAGGAGAAAAACTGTAATAGTGGCTTTGAAACCTATAATACACCATATTCAATCTTCATGTGCAAGCTCAATTCAGAGCTTAAGGCAGCCTTAGGATTGTTATGTTTCATATACATTTTCAAGGCTCTTTCAGCCAGACGAAGGTATCATTTGGATTATTAGCGTTTGTAGTTAAGCCCTAAACTTTTGGTGTTTTCCTCCCTTTTTCTTACAAAAACATCCAAATTTGCTCTGACGAAAATTGCAGCAAATGAAAGCACACGACTTGTTGATGAAATAATTGTTGGCAGCTATGGGTTCTGAGTCTTTGGGCCTGGTTAGAAGACAGTGTTGTAAGGACCTCGGTGAAGCAGTGTCTATGCTGTGGCACATATTCCAATTTTACTCCAAAGAACATTGGTTATTGTTTCTGTCTAAGAGGCTGAGGTGAAATGAGGTGGAGCCGTGCCGTCCGCGTGCAGTGCATGTTACGTCTCTGCATCCTGTCTAAAAGTAATCTTTAAAAGAGAGTTGCTCATTTATTTATTGTGCGTTCCATGAGCCGTAGAGTTACACTCATAATTTACACACGATGGCAGAAACCGTAGCAGGCACTTGGCATGACTGACTTTTACAGTTATGTCATTCTTGCTTTCCCATCTCCCTACTCCATGAACCTGAGCTTGTTCATTTACCTGTGTTGCCCATGTGCCCCTCTGCTCTGTACTTGACACATCTCTTGTCCCGCTGAAATCACGTCTTCTCTTTACTGTTTCACTCGTTTCGCCTGTACTCACCATCCGCCTCCCTTTCATGTTTGTCTCGTCTGCTTTGCAAGTCTGTTGTCCTTTCAGTATAACTATTCAATTGTCTGCCTTTACCATCCATCTACTAGGTATGTAATGATACATCATGTATATATTAATTGTAATTCTTAGAATCAACATATGTGCATTAATTTGACTATAAACAATTGGATTATTTGAAATTTCTAGTCCTTCATGGGATTGGTTCATGAAAATAGAAAATCCTGCATGGACTAGAGATTTTTTTCACACCAAAATGACCATTAAATAATAAGTTTGTGATTTGATTCGTGACCTCGAATCAAAATAATTTGTCGATTCCTGGTGGGGGGTTGAATCATTACAACCCTACCATCTTCCCGTCACGTTTGTCTCCTCCATGTGGCGCGTTCTGAGCGATGTGGCCTAACCACACCTTTATTATTTTGATGGTTGCTTTGTTCTCATCTCGCTCGTGGGTTTGTGTCGCCGTCGTCGCCCCAGGAGTGGAGCAAACAGCCGAGCCCCTACGAGCAGCCGTCGTCCTCTGCCACGCTGCCACGAACGATTGCGGAGACCGAGACGGATTTGCGCTGCGCGGTGATGCCGGCGCCACCCACGGTGCCGCAGCCCGGACGGCAGGGCCCCGACACGCCGCGGCCACAGAGCGTCGCCTTCCTACACGGCGGCAAGGTGCTCTCTCAGCACGGCATACACACTTCGCCGTCTGAACTGTCTCGTGGCAGAAAATGTGCGGTTTGTTTTGCTAACGTGCGTGGTGGTGAAATGGCTTAATAGCATTTACTTTTGGAGTGTGTGGCCATTGAATCAGAATTGGAATATTTATTTTTCTTGGAGGAATCGATGAGCTATAAAGCTCTTGTTTTACAGATGTCCAGTAGGGGCACTGGGTAAAAACGTTACGACACTCAAAAAATACACAAACAGGATAGGAGTGCAAAGTACAAGCAAGGTAAACAAGTCACCCAAACACAAACAAATAAAACCTTAAACCATCTGCCCATCCTACCAGACAAAGCCCACTGAGGTATTAACTTATTCTTCAGAAGTGATCTGGCCACAAATGATAGCTCAGCAAAGTGGCTCATTGTAGAAGTTTATAGCAGCAACATAATCTAAATAATGTTTCCGCAAATGCGCGAATCAAGCTGCAAGTGTTTGAAGAGGGACATCTGTGGAAATCAAAGCACAAGGATACAGCGTACAAAGCCTAGTAGAGAAGTAGGGGACCCTACATGGGGACAAATTCCCTTCTAGTAATTCTTGTAATTCGTGGTAATACCATTTCAACTACAGTTTTTCACAAAACGCACACAAAAATAATATTAAAACAACTAAAGTTTATCTTCTCCGCGAATTACAGCTCAATATCTCAAGCAGCAGCAGCAGGCACAGGCCATGCACGCGTTGCTAACGAGGTGGCGACGCATTCCTCGTGTGGCGGCGGCGATGGCAGGTGGACGTGCTGGTGCCAGGGGAGCTGAGCAAGGCGCTGGTGCAGGGGCTGCAGCTGGAGAGCCAGAAGAGCAGCCGCGACTCGCTGCAGTGCTCCAGCGGCTACAGCACGCAGACCACGACGCCCACCTGCTCCGAAGACACCATCTCCTCTCAAGGTGACGATCGCCTGGCACTCCGAGTGCTGCAGCCTGTGATCTACGTGTGTATGTGTATGCATCTTGATTTGAAGCTTTTGTGACTGCAGGAATCCATACTCTCTCTGCCGTGGCTGATCACTGTTTTAACGCGGTGGGCTCACATGATATTGTTTTTCTGAGACCAATGTACTCTGCAAACCTTTCGGGCTACCATCAAAGATTTGTCCATGAAGCCATCCAGATATATAAACACAGACACAATTTCAACCGAGAAGATGGGTACAAACCGAGCAATCATTGGAAGGACGTTATTAACCAGTTTAGGTCATCACTGGCTGTGATGTCCCCTTCGTGCCTGGCTATGTTAGCAGCTTCTCTCGGCTCTCTGAGTCACATTCACTAACACAGCTTCTCTCTATCTATTCCCCATCCCCTCTCTCTCCCTCTAGCGCTCGCGCAGCTCCGTTCCCTATCTCTGCCCCACCCCCCTCTCTCTCCCCATTACCTCACGCGTAGCCCCCTGTCTTGCTCTGCCCCCCACTCCTCTCTCTCCTGCCGCCGATCCCTCTGTAAATTGCATCTCCGCTCGCTCGTTATGGCAGCCCCTCCCTCCCCCCCTCGGATTAGCTGACGCTTGCTATCCTTATGTTTGCTAGCCTTACATTTACTTATGTAACCCCTTCCTTGTAACAGCTTTCTCACCATTTTTCGCCTGATGACAGACTCTTGTGTTGCGTCCGAAATGTCGTGATCTATTATTTTTCTACCTACGTGACTTTACCGAAAGACCCAAAGAGTATATGTAATGTATGTTATGGGGAGTGGTAGTTTAGCGGTTAGCGCTGCGCTACGAACTTGGCTGCCCGAGTTCGATTTCCACTCACAGCCAACACCAGTGACGAATATCTGAACCGGTCCCGGGCCTCACCGAGGTCAACTCGGCCTAAAATGAGTACCTGGTCCGATGTGTTGTACACTTCGCCACAGGGGAGACCAGGTGGCCAGGCGTGGTGCTCTCCATTTGTATCTACTGACTCCAGTTGTATCTACTGACTCTAGTAGTATCTACTAACTAGTAGTAGTATCTACTGACTCTAGTAGTATCCACTGACTAGTAGTAGTATCTACTGACTAGTAGTAGTATCTACTGACTAGTAGTAGTATCTACTGACTCTAGTAGTATCTACTGACTCTAGTAGTATCTACTGACTAGTAGTAGTATCTACTGACTCTAGTAGTATCTTACGACTCTATAGTAGTAACTTCTGACTCTACAGTGGTATCTACCGACTCTACAGTGGTATCTACCGACGCTACAGTGGTATCTACCGACTATAGTAGTATCTACCGACTCTACAGTAGTATCTACCGACTCTTTAATAGTAACTACTGACTCTACAGTAGCATCTACCGACTCTACAGTATTATCTACTGACTCTACAGGAGTATCTACTAACTCTATAGTCGTAACAGCACAAATTGGGGTGGGGGAGAGAAGAGGAACGTCACACTGTTCAGGATTTACCTCGGTGTTCTGCTTCTGTGTTTATTTTTGCTTTATTAACGCGAAGGAGAAGCTCCCTCACGTCGATCAGCATAATAATAGATTGTTATAAAGTTTTCTTCAATTAGTTTACATTTGACGAGGGGAAAAACAAATAATGCTTTTTCGTCTGGGGGCTTAGCGCGTTGTATGTGTACTTTGTTGTAACGTAAACCCAACAGTTTGTCAGTGAAAAGTATTTCAAGGCATGAATAGACAGACAGACAGAGAGACAGACAGAGAAACAGACAGAGAGACAGACAGAGAGACAGACAGAGAGACAGACAGAGAGACAGACAGAGAGACAGACAGAGAGACAGACAGAGAGACAGACAGAGAGACAGACAGAGAGACAGACAGAGAGACAGACAGAGAGACAGACAGAGAGACAGACAGAGAGACAGACAGAGAGACAGACAGAGAGACAAAGAGACAGACAGAGAGACAGACAGAGAGACAGATAGATAGATAGATAGCCAGACAGACAGATAGATAGCCAGACAGATAGACAGACAGACAGAGAGAAAGACAAAAAAATACGTTTATAGGTAAGATACATCGACAATTACCATTTTGGTCTGCACTGCAGTCTCTGATATCGTGACTAAATTATATCAGTCTGTGTCTCCGTTCAGGCTCGTTAACTTTGTTATGCCATTGCCATTCTTTGGAAGGCAATCATCGTCATTATCACACTTGATGATTTCATACACTCATAGTCATCATTAAATACAAAAAAAACCTGGTGAATATTGTCATCACTAATGTCTTAACGGAATTAACACCGTCTGTAACCTTCCATACTCCAACCTAGACTCGCACAGACATAGCGGGTTGTACGCTTCAGCAGTGAAGATGCAATCCATAAATATCTCTCATCTTGATACATGCCTGACCCATGACCACATCAACTAGAATGCACCCGATATGGAAGCTAAGCAGGCTGGAGTCTGGATAGTGCTTGGTTCGATGTCCACCAACCACCAGAATTATACACATCTGTGAAGGCCTCAGAACATTTGGCTGCTTTGCACCTAAAAGTGTGTTTCTTGCTATAAAAACAGAAAATAAAAACATGGCTTTAGTGACGATACAATCTTAGCAACACCGTGCAAGAAGGTAATGAATGCCCCCCTGACTCGAACGCAGCCCAGTGTTCCGAGGCCCTAAACCTGTAGCGGCCCCGTGGCCAGCTAGCTGGCGTTAACACTGCCGGTGTTGCAGCTTCAGACCAAGACTATTTCTCGGTGAACGGCGATGCAGACGAGGCCGACGCTTGCGGCCAGCAGCACCTTCTGCCCCCGCCGCCACAGCACCTGCACCACCACCAGCAGCAGCACCAGCAGCAGCACCATCAGCAGCAAACGGATGCGGACAAGTGCTGCACGGTTCCACGCGGAAGCGAGCTGGCGCAGTCGTACCGCCGAATGTTGCAGGTGAAGAGGCCCGTTTCGACGGCCGGGCTGCCGTGCGCCAGCGGCACGGGGCCTTCGCCGTCGTCGCCGCCCTCGCCGCACGGCGTGGCCACGATCCGCCGCGTGCCGTCCGCTAAAACGGCGCCGAGGCCCACGGGCGGCCCGCGGCCCATCCGCCCGCCCAGCGTGCCCGTGCGACGCACGGCTCTAAGGTACGAGGCCCTTTGAGGATGGCGAACGTGTGTGGTACCGCGGTGCAAAATACCGATGCTGTGAAATAATAGTTGCTGCAGTGGATCGGGAGCCCCTGAACCCTGTCATTCATTCCCATGCATGGGTATGTTTGCAAATTAATATGCTCTTCACAGTGCTCTGTGAGCTCCAAAACCAATTGCGATTGACAGTCATGATGTTTTTCAGTTTTACGATGGCACCTTGGCTTAACATAGATTCTGTCGTGTAACAACACAGACACTTCACTAACACAACTTGATAACAGAAGCACTTCAATGTCCCAATACATTACCACCGTTATACACAGCTGCCTTAACTACACTCGGATACATCCGTATAATAACTCGGCGCCTCACGCACACTGCGTCACCCTAATTCAATCCAACTTTACGGCCCGCGTCACGTCGTGACAATCTCAATGTTTCCTTTGTCCCTCAATTCCCCTTGGCCCACTCCTGTCTCCTCCGCCTTCGTCTATCCTCCCCATGGCGTGGGCAGGGTGGACGTGAGCTGTCCGGGTGTCCTGGTCATGGCTGACGAGGCGTCGCCCCACCGCATGGCGCCCCCCGAGCTCGTGTCTCCCGAGGAGCGGCTGCATATAGCTGCGACGCGGCGCAGCATGACGGAGCGGCTGGGCGCCGTGGTGGTGGCGGCGCACGCGCACGCCCAGTCGCACTCGCCCTTCTCCCCGTTCGCCAACACCAACGCCACGCCACCGGTGCCGGGGCCGTCTCGGCCACGACGTCAACAGCGGGCAGCGGCGCCGTCACGGTCGCTGTCGGCGCGCACGAGGACGCACGCAAGCAGACCACGCCGCACTACCCGGCGCAGGCACAGGACATGCTGACGGCAATCCGGCGAGGCGTGCGTCTGCGCAAAACCTCAACCAATGACCGCTCGGCTCCGAGGTTTTGAGCGTGGATCACCGCCCTCCACCCCCCCGACCCCGATCCCATTCCGTTCCGTTCTTTAGCTGATTTATTTTCCACCACCGTCCGACCGGCTTCGGATTAAGGGAAAAAATATATACGTTGATGGTGATGGCAACAAATAGCCGTCAGAAACTAGAGCAAGCAACTTGTTGCAACCACTCGATGCGGCGCCTGTCCTCGTGTTTTGTGATTTTCTTGGAGCCGACAGTCGACACATCCCAGTGTGTTTGTCGATGTCTCTACTGACTGTGCTGAGCACCAAAAGATGAATTATAAGCACTTACACGTGCGCGCATGTGTGTACGGGTGGGGTAGAACAACGTTGCTTCATATTTACGTCAGTTTCTTTGCTTGTTCATTTGTTTTGGGGTTTTTTCGCGTTGAGTAATGCTCGCATGTTTTTGTTCATAGCATAGAGGACGTTTGTATAATTAATACTGTAATATCGACTAACTTTAAGTAGTTGCATCATGTATAATGGTTCCTTTCTCTACGTTTGCGCTGGGCGTTTTGGAAGACAACACAAATTTGCTCGTTCACAAGTGCAGAGCGCATTGCGCGTTTAGAATGTGGTCAACGGTCACAGCACGAAAGCCTCTGGCGCTTGCTGCTGCTGCTATTGCTTTGCCATTTCACACTGCCTTAACTTGTATGGTACCTGGCAGAGGTGGGACAAGGTGAGGCACGGTACTGTGCAGCACCGAGCAAGGCGTTGCCAGTCGAAGGGCAGATTTCAAGCGAGTGTAATGATTTTCATTTCCCATTCAAGTACACGTGTTTTTTGTGTCGGAAATTCCAGGCCTCTTAATAGCAGCTTATTTGGGAAAGACGGGAGAGGCTGGGTCTGTATATTCACTGAGGCTTACTGCTGTTCAAAATGTGCCACGTTCAGCTGACTTGTCTGTTCAATCACACTCCAGCCTGGATCTAGGAGAATGGGAGGAGCCCAGAGCCGAGGGGTGGCTGATGCTTTGAAGGATTTGTCCCCCATTTTGGAGATATTTGGAGCACAGTGCACGCTATGCATGTTCACCTACCGTAAACATGCGTGAAAGTCGCACAGTGTGCGCACGGCGGTGGTGCTAATGTGCAGGCTTCGATTGAATTCCGGATTTAATTTCAACCACCGCTTGGTCAAAACGCCCTCTCCCAAACTCCAGGTGGAGCGCTGCCACCTTATTCTGTACTTTTACCGTGGTGGAGATGCTGCAAGGAGCATCGCTCGCGCAGCATTGATGTGACTGTTAATTCATTGCACTCGTTCTCTCTGAGCGAGCCTCCCCAGGTGCTGAGCACAAACCAGTCCAGTGGCAAATATAAGCCTTACACCAATTCAAAAATTCTTGAAGTTGCCGTTGAGTGCATTTTTAGTTAATTAGTGCACAAACGAAACCGACACGGTGTGTGCAAGTTTCACAACGTCTTGTTTGTATACGTGGGGTTATTTTCCAGTTCCTTTATATTTGCTTTTCAACCAAAGCCCCCGGGCTCACGATGTGATTATGCAGCCGTGGTCAATAACAACAATATGATGCTTTTCAGACATCGCTGCAAGCGACAGGCTTTCCCAGTGGCTATGTTCTGAAGCGCTTTCATGAGGTTTTCTTCCTTCGCAACAAAGGTCACTCCCAATCCAGCCTCACTGTTATTGTTCAGTCATGCCCATATCACAGCTGTTTCTCGCCTGGCAATGTTTTTTACAACAAGTTACACAGTTGGTCCACTAAGTAGGTCACATCGTAAGCCTCCCGGTGCTTTTAATTGCACTCACGGTTTTTCCTGCGGCATGTTTACCTAAGGCTTTAACGGTCAAATGCTCGTTCTCTTTAATCAACATCATTTACAAGTAACCTGACATTCTTGCTTCCTAACTGGAAATGACAGCTCCCTTTGGGGGGCGCTGGGGGGGGGGGGGTCATCGAAAACAGCATATACCGTAGTTGCATTCTAGAGGCTTCAGAGCATTACGATTCACGCGAGCTGTAATTGCGGAGTTTGTGTATACGCACGAGCCCAAACAGAATGGGCTGCCAATATAGCACTGAACTAGGCCAATAAAAAGGGGCATTCGCTCTTCTGTGAAAGATCAATTATTCTGGAAAGGCTCACCAAGTCTGTACTCTTCTTCATTTGGGTTCCGAATTGGAATATTTATCCGATCATTTTAATGACCGTGGCTGTGAGGGGGGGATAAGTCTCCAAGGACAATAAAACTCGTTAATACAACTCGACCATCTCCTGGCCACTGTTAAGCCCATTTGGTTTGAGAGGATTACAAATTTGTAACGGTAAAAGAATTGCATCTGAAGGGATATTTTCACGGATGTTTTGAATATAATCATTTGAACTATATGACTGCAAAGGCTTTATTCCAAGCAAGACTAAAATGAACTCCTGGTTCATCGTGTCGGAAATGAAGCGTACCTGAGGCCCCAAAGTCAGCTGATGTGTCTCCTGGAGATCTGAACGTGTATGTTGTCGGTGGTCACGTAGAGAGAAGGCCTTTCAGCCCGCACGGTGCAGTTACCAACAAGTCGAATGTTGCGAGCATTGGTGGGTGATTTTGTCACGGATAGACATTTATGTACTTGAGAAGCTTGTCAGGTTCAGCTTTTGTTTTTATTAAAGATAACTAATTATATATTGACTCTAACTGTGACCAGAAGTCATTTGCAGGTTTTTCTTGTTTACCAATCAAAATACTATAACAGCGTTTATACGTGCATTCCGCAGTTTACGTGTGAACAGTGAGCTCTGACAGTGAGAAAGCGATAGGTTAAGCTAAATGGTGATTCAACCCTCCCACACCCAATGCCACAGATGCCGTTTTGCCAATATCAAGTCATTATTGGTTGCTCAGAATCACATTCAAGCAGCCCTGCAGAAAAAAAAACGACGCCACCGCACGTGGGCGTCTGATGTCACTCCTCCATGAGTGTATCCACGCCCGCGTTCAGTGTAGACCAGTGATTACTTGAAGCCAGGCCTCAACACCGATTCATGAGAAAATCAGCCCAGTATAGCTGCAAGTTTCATAACAATTGTCAAAGACGAAACATCTCCAAAGAAAAACAAATCTAAATGTGCCCCATGAGGTGTATTTTTTCCCTGAAATTCAAAACGAGTGCCTCTGCACAGGAGCCTACTACCATCGTGGGCATGATGAGGTTTACTTTTTAAACCTGAGCGTGGTCCTGCAGGTTTTGAAAATATATTTTTACAATGGAAACCAATCTGTTTACCGTGAAATTACTGCTCCTTGTCATGCACTGTCAAAGTGTCTCCATATTTAAATGAGCATTGAGGCAAACCTGTGTTGGTGGTGGTGAAAACCTTACATTGCTTGCACTTCCACAAAGTGGTATTAATTTTATTGACCCCCAGGCGCATGATGGGCTAACTTGACCGCCCGATTTGTTGTTGAATTTTCAGATTTTCAGATGCGAGCCGGGCATTGCCATGACACCACCTGGCTGGTGAACAATTATTTTGTGTACCCCACTGGCAAATTCATTTGCCGACAACCCAACCCTTGCCTCCTACCATTACACTCAACTGAGATTCAAAAGGGGAGTGGAAATATTATCTTGCTTGATTTCAGAATACTGTAATTATATTCACATGCTTCCCTCTAAAACAAAATAATTTTCTATATTCAAACAGAGATACTTGATGTAATACCCAGCATGTTGAAGAGCAGTTGCTATCATTGACCTCGTAAGTAACGCTGTTAGAAGGCAGTGAACTGTGTTGTGCGATGAAGACTCAGTAGGGCAATGGTTTACACTTATAAAATTTTCAACCGCCTCGGATGTTACATACGTGTACAAATATTTTGGTGCATAGTAGAGTCGAGCTGTTTTTTGGTAGTTTTCAATTGTAATGCTTAGTTCATGTTGTTTATAGGTTTGTTTAAAAAAAAGTCTGAAACAAACTAAAACAAATTAACAATTGAGTTCCAAAGCAAAAAGATTGGCTGGACCAGCATTGAAAGAACATATTTAATTTATAAAGTAATTTCGTTGTTTTATCTTTTTTTATGACAATAGTGGATATTCTAAGATTAAGCATATTTTAGTACGTGTACTTTCATATGATATCGGTATTTGAACGTGTCTCAATCTTTTAATGTTTTAATGTTTTTTACGACATTTTTGTCTTTATTTTCGTTTCTCTCAATTATCCGAGCTTGTCTTTGACTTAACTCTTTTTGACATTTACACAATTTACAAGAACTTAATTATAATAATAATCTCTCGTGCCAAAACTAAAAAAAATGTAATCTGTAAACAACATTCTGCACCCTCCCAGGCTTGGAGACGATGACGATTGAGGTGTAAATGGCACCAAGCGTTCTTTAACAAGTTCTCGCCGACCTGTCATGGAATGCCAGGTGGCCGAGTAGAACAGCCACCTGGAGTCCGCTGTACACGGCACGTCATAGTGCACGCGTCGCTTAACATCTGTGCTGACCACTCTTCCGCAAATAACACTGCTCACTAATGGAGGGTCTCTGGCGTTTTCAGAGAACACCCAAAACACTGGTTGGGAACTCTTGAATTATTTTAAGAGTACTCCCACGGATGCATATACGTAGAAAACCCCCCTTCATAGTTGTAGTGGCCATACCTAAAGCAAGACGTCGCCTTGCGTGCTGTTCATGACATTGTACTTTTTACGCCTCTCCCGAGTCAAGAACTGTTGTGTGAAGAGAGCAGTGAAATCCTTGCGACCCAAGTGCCCCGTGTGCTGGGAGTACCCAAGGCGGATCGATGTAATGCAGGACCCGATGCGTTTGTGAGTGCGTGCGGACGTTGCCAGTTGTCGCATTGCATCTAAGCAGCGGCCTGTGAGGAGCAGATTGTGTCGGGGGTCTTGCAGGCTTCAGTCCTCAAGACCGCCTCTCATACGCCGCTCGCTCTCACGGTTGGACAAGCGCCTGACTTCGTGCATTGTGCCTACATTGTTAGACTGTATTGAATATGGCACAATGTTGAACCATGAATTCTAGATTTGAAGTTTTCGTGACTGCAAGGATTCATATTCTTAGGTTTTTTCGGTAAAGTCACGTAGGTAAAACATTTACTTTTATTAATTTTAATGTTTTACCTACGTGACTTTACCGAAAAAACCTAAGAATATGTTGAACCATGGATTTACATAGCAGCTAAATTGATACTGTTACGTTTGTCATTAATTTACCACATGAGAACCCATTCACAAAAGTCTCTTGAGCAAGGAAAATGTGGAGCATGATTTATGCATTGCCAAAAAAAGCAGTTTACATCAAATTTGGTATTTAAAAAATGGTTAGGGTCTTTTAACAAAAAATGCCTAAATTATTTCCCAGCAATCCATCCTGCCTCTTGGTTTAGCGGGAATTTTGACTTTCTGAATGTCAAGCATTGAGCTTGGTGCAAATGTAGGTTTGGTAAGGAGAATGTAAAGTTGTGCAAGGGTGAACTCGCAAGGTGGCAGGACCAAGGATGTCCCCGTGCATGCTTACAGAGCCCCCTCAGACCAATGTTTGGCCGGGTGTGAGGTGGGAAATTGGTCACAAGTGGTGGAAGAACTGGCTCCATGTGAATCGACCTGTAAGAGATGGGACAGTCTCGTTCCAAGTAGTATATGGCCAGTTGCATAAAACACCTTATTAAAACACTACTTATTGCCTTCATGCCTGTCGGTGCCGGCATCGATCCCATTATTTGCAGTCAGCGTATCCTTCATATATGGCTCCTACAGCGCCAACTGCAGAGAAGCCTGATGTGCAGACGATTTTTAAATCGTATGTGGGTGCAGTGATGACAAAACAACTTTAATACAGTTGGTGCGAAAAAGTTGACGTTTACGTAAGCCCATAATCCTATTGACCTACAACTCTAGATGGATGGATGGGTGGGTATTTGCGGGGAGGAATAAATGCCGAGAAAAAGGACAGGTAACCCGAGACGAGTCAAGTTGGGTTCGCTGTGCGGCCAACCTCCAGAACAGCTGTCAGCATCTCTTTGTTGAGATTGATCGTCACGTGCAGCAGTGGATACATTAAGAAGAAGAAAACACGGAACTGAAGGTGTTTTATGCAAGCGGACTCGTGCGTGTATGGAGTCTTATATGAAGACGGGGCATGACAGCAGGACATTCGGTGAAGCTGGAATAATGTTTTGTTAGCCACTGTTGTCGCCTCACCCGAGACCCCCGACGTGTGTGAAGCACAATGACACAGAGACAACGCAGTCGCTCACGCTATTTTGCTAATCTCAACAGTTGGTGGACGAACGTTGGTGACCTACATCTGATGCCTCTCTTCCCTTACACCCCACCTCCATACTCCACCCCTAGTTCCCACCTTATGTACAGTATATTATAATAGACTAGTAGATCAAAAATTGTTCTTTTTTTAGATGAAAAGTGTTCGCAGTGCTTCTCGCTTAAAACAGCGAAATTATTGAATAAAGTTGCAGTAACGTAAACTAGATTGTCATGCATTCTTTTTTTAATCCCAAATGTCTTCAGTTTTGCGATGGGGCTGCATTGTGGGCACCAGATGCAAGTGGACGATTCTCGTATGTCACCAGGTACTCTTCACTGATTTTCAGAAGAGGGGGGTGGGGGTCAGTTTCGCCAATAAGACGTCGCTGTGAGGGCCTCCGCACATTTGGAACCGAAACCATTGGGGTTTACCAGCACGATGCTGGGGGGAGGTGTTCTCACTGTGCGTGTTGTCGGGGTCCCCACTAGGCCACCAAAGGGCCTCCAGTGGCCCGCGGGCCTTGCCATGAAGAGCTCGGGGCTGCATTGTGGGCTGCACCAGAGGGCAGTGCACGATCTCCGTCTGCTACCACGCGCCTGGTCCCTTGCCTTCAACCCGCACGGGCCAGCGTGGTGAAGTGAGCGAATCATCACCTTGACCCGCACAGCGCGGGGATGGCCTCATCCAGCAGTGGATTGACAGGATGGCTGTACACATGCCAAATAATGGACGAGTGCTGAGATTCTGCAACTTGTTCTTAGCTTATCGCTGTCTCGATCTCGACATTCACTTGATCGCTGACCAGTATTGAATATTGTGATGTGAAATAGTGTTGTTTTATCCAGTCGTTATTACCAGTGTGCTATTGGTGTTGACAAGGTGGTAAATCTCTCAAGTTGATGTTTCATTCTCTGGTTGTTGCGGTGCGTTTGAAAGTTCTTGGTGAGTAGGAAAAGCGGACTTGCCACCGATGATCAGCAGAGGGCGCTGTGTGTTGCGATTCATGATACATACAGGTTAGTTATCAGTGTGGAGTAATAATACTGCGAGCCTTTACCCCAGGAAAGCCTCGCTGAATCTCAAGACTTTCCATCCGAGTGCTGCAGTTGCATGTTTGAACAAACAACAATCTTTTAAAGGTGTTTTTTTGCGGTTGGGAGGAAATCATTGTACCCGGAGACAACCCCATCATGCGGAGGAGGGAATAACACTCAAATGATAAAACAGACTGGTACACGAACGCGTGTACGAGCAGCTGCTGAGCCACCACGAGCATCAAAACGAAGGGTGGCAATCACGGGGAAGGGGGGTGCTGCGAAACGTCGCCACCCGCGTTCGTACCATCTCAGTTCTCCGCGTGCGATGCCGTGGGCGAACAGCAGTGGGCGTTGGTGCCACGGCGTGAGACATTTCTCATTCACAGCATGGATACACATTCGTTTTGTGACGAGCTCATCAAGGCTGTCTTCGCAAAAGGTTTAAACACATTTTAGAATTAACTGGATAAGATTTTTTTTTAAATCTATGATCAGTCACTAACTACTCCAAAAAAGTATTTTTTTCCACAAAGAAAACTTCACTTGATTTAACTTCTATTTAAAGACGTACCCATCAGAAACCGCTCTATTTAAAGATTCCGTTCTTTTTTTATTCGAAAAAATAAAACATAATTAACGTAATATTCTGAGGGGAGCTCCTATCTTTAACCGTTTTATAATTATTCAGATATAACCATAAAATTCGTATTTTTTTTGTTCAAAACCGCTTGAATCCGAAACATCTAAAAAACATTAAAGATAGAACAATGGTTATCGCTTAAATTTTATTTCCAGTTTTACGCTTATCAAACGAAAACACCCATAATCATATTGTGCACGGTGTATGAACGACACGCAAAAATATGTTTATGGAGCACTTAAAAGGCTTTAAAATTAAAAATGTCGGATTATCAGTTGTTTGTGTCCATAAAGCTACCGTATGCACTCAATTTCACCTTGCTACCTTGTCGGAAAGTACCACAGAGGTTTTTGAGAAATGCAGATGAAGGTCTTTCTGTGTATAGATACGTTTGCGATAGCAGTGGTGCACGAGCACAAATAACAGACACGCGTGATGGGGGGGGGGACGTTTCAGGAAATGTCCCTTTTTTTGCCGCGTATTCGACGAATGCATTTGTTGTGATGGTCTCCCCCCCCCCCCCCACGTGGGGCCCCGTCCCGCGTTGGCTACGAGACTCGCGCCTCTCCCCACGTCCACCAGCAAAGGGCGGCATAGGGCGGAAGCGCACGGGGACAGGGGACAGCTCAACACGGGGCCCAATCCCCGTCTGGCAATCTTCACGCGACAATATGGTCATCCTGTTTCACAATACAAAGATGATCACGATATCAGTTTCCCGTAAATTAGCTGTCTGGACATCTGTGAAAAAGCTTCATAGAGCGCATCGGATTCCTCCAGTCTACAGATTCTAATCAGGATTCTGATTCCGTATTTCACAGCGTTGTTGTCTTTTTGTTGCGCTTTGCTGCAGCGTTACTACGAATAGAATGTTTAAAAGTTGTTCCACTGAGTTTCCACTGAACACGCCTTGCAAAGTAAGTCTGGGCTTCCACTTGGCAGCCATGCACACAGACAGCAGCCATGCACACAGACAGCAGCCATGCACACAGACAGCAGCCATGCACACAGACAACAGCCATGCACACAGACAACAGCCATGCACACAGACAGCAGCCATGCACACAGACAACAGCCATGCACACAGACAACAGCCATGCACACAGACAACAGCCATGCACACAGACAACAGCCATGCACACAGACAGCAGCCATGCACACAGACAACAGCCATGCACACAGACAACAGCCATGCACACAGACAACAGCCATGCACACAGACAACAGCCATGCACACAGACAACAGCCATGCACACAGACAACAGCCATGCACACAGACAGCAGCCATGCACACAGACAACAGCCATGCACACAGACAACAGCCATGCACACAGACAGCAGCCATGCACACAGACAGCAGCCATGCACACAGACAGCAGCCATGCACACAGACAGCAGCCATGCACACAGACAACAGCCATGCACACAGGGGCCTCGTTCGGCACCCTGAACCAGCGACTTCACGATTAGATGAATTATCCCAGGGGTCGCGCACGGTATTTATATTTTTTCACAATGCGATATCGCGATGCTGCATATCGCGATATGGCAATCACCGCGATATCAGTTCCCCTTGTCGGAGTGTGTCGCGTGGTACTGCGCTGCGCTGTGCCTCGTTCAGGGGGCGCAGGAACGTGCCTCGTCAGTGGCTGCGGTTGCTTCAACACCAACCTGCCGCACGTGGCGACAGCCTCGCGCGGTGCTGCCGGTTACAGACGATGCTCATCGCACGGGTCGTTGAAGCACGAATGTTGTTTACTCGCCGTGTCATCACTTACACTTGTGCGAAGCGCCGATTTCATGGGTAACGTTTGTGTCTGCACAACTTGTATTATTGCGATGAATTATTTGGTGATGCCGCTGCTGCTGCTGCGCTGGCAGTGGTGCACACGCACAACATTCAACTCAAAATCTTCTTCAATAATATTGTGGCCTGTAAAAATATATAGGCGACGTTTCGGGCAATGCCCCTTCTTGATAGCACAGTATAAAATTGCGTTGTGCTCTTGACGAGTGAGTTTCTTGCTCGTTATTATGATTGTCAGTAGAGCAAGTAAAACACAATGCAATACTTAAGAAACAGCATGAGCAACGGGAGCCACGATATAACGAAATGTTGAAACACGGACGATACGATGATTGTGGAAATAATATTGCACGATGTATCGCAGTATTGCATTCATGGCGATAACTTTAGTGTGCAATAATCACATCCGTTACACAGCAGCGCATGAAGCGAACACATTTTAATCTAACACGCAGGGCCCGATGCACATCGGTCGAACGTGACGATCTTTGTCAATCCACGTATGGTTACTGGTACCATGACAAAGACCCCCCGTATAGACTTAACAGACCGTTGGGGCAAGTGTCATGAACACCCAATGTCACAGCAAGTACACACCGCACGTCGCATGCGCACACAATACACGCCTCGTCATACACAACACGCCCATACACGAGACTTGCACTTACACACCACACCCACATACCACACACCCACATGCCACACACCACACACCACACCCACACACCACACACCCACACACCACACACTCACACACCACACGCCACACACCACACACCACACCCACACACCACACACCCACATGCCATACACCACACCCACACACCCACACACCACACATCCACACACCACACACCACACCCACACACCACACCCACACACCCACACACCCACACCCACACACCCACACACCCACACACCACACCACACACCCACACACCCACACACCACACACCCACACACCACACACCCACACACCACACACACACACTCCACACACCCATACACCACACACCACACACCCACACACCACACACCCACACACCACACACCCACACACCACAGACCACACATCCACACACCCACACACCACACACCACATCACACACCCACACACCCACACACCACACCACACACCCACACACCACACACCACACACCCACACACCCACACTCCACACACCCACACACCCACACACCACACCACACACCCACACACCCACACTCCACACACCCACACACCACACACCACACGACACGCTCAAACACAAAGATCCCCCCCCCCCCCCCTCATGCAGTATGGGACAGACTGTCGGGGCAAGTGCTCTTGGCGAGCACCAATGAACGCCGGCACGGCACACGAGGGGTGAGTGGCGAGCACCACGCCCGACCGCCTTTGTCTCTCCAGCATTTACACACTGCACCACGTACACATTTAAAGCTGAGCCGACCTACAGGAGCGGCCCAGCACTGGTTCAAGACATTCGTGACTGCTATTGGTCGTCATGAGCTGAAATCGGTCGCTGGGTTTTGTAGCGCAGTTCGCCCATCGCTCCTCACAAGCTGACAAACTACCCACACACAGACTACACACACTACACACACACTACACACACACACTACACACATTACACACACACTACACACACACTACACACACTACACAATACACACACACGCTACACACACACGCTACACACACACACGCTACACACACATACACACGCTACACAAACACTACACACACACGCTACACACACACACTACACACACACTACACACACACGCTACACACACTACACACACACTACACACACTACACACACACTACACACACGCTATACACACACGCTACACACACACACTACACACACACGCTACACACACACGCTACACACACACACTACACACACTACACACACATGCTACACACACACGCTACACACACTACACACACACACTACACACACTTCACACACACACTACACACACACTGCACACGCTACACACACACTACACACACACACGCTACACACACACACTACACACACACTACACACACACGCTATACACACGCTACACACACTACACACACGCTATACACACACACGCTACACACACACGCTACACACACACACACGTGCTACACACACACGCGCCATACGCACGTGCTACACACACACGCGCCATACGCACGTGCTACACACACACGCGCCATACGCACGTGCGCGCTGCGCGCTCTGAGTTGCGTGGGGGGTGGGATCTGCGCGGGTGGCGCAGGGAGAGGAGGAGGAAGGAGGCGGTGGTGGTACCGGAGCGATCGAGTCCGGCTGCTGGTGCCGCTATTGGTGGCGGAGTTCTCCTTGGAGCCCGAGGCGGTAACGACGAAGGGAATTTCCGTGGCTTTAGAAGCGTACGAGAAGAGCGCTCTCACCTGGTCACCCATCTCCCGTCCCGTTCCTTCCCCTGGTCCCGTCTCTTCCACTTCTCTCTCGTCTCTTCACCTCGTCTCGCTCCGTCTCACTCCAAGTTGCGCGACTCCTCCCAGCGTCTCCCCTGCACAGCCGTCGTGTCATCTCGTCTCACCTCACGTCTCACCCGCTTCACCCTGGGGTCCCGTCGCTCCCCCTGCCTCCCCCTGCCTCCCGCGTCTCCCCCAGCCCGCCTCACCAACGATCACTCCGGCTCTCGCCCCTTCCCGTCTCTCCCCGTCTCCCTCCAGCTCCCGACTCACCTCGTCTGCCCCCGTCTCTCGCCGTCTCGCCATGGGTCCCAGCACCTGCTCGTGGCTGATGTGGATCCCTCTCATCCTGCAGTGCGTGGGTGAGACGCGACACTGACACTCCCACACACCTTGCTCTTACAAAGACCCCCACCGTGTCGCCTGGAACAGACTGTTGGGGCGAGTGCTGTGAGCGAGTAGCGGCACCTGTGAAGGCTACCGGCACTGTGGCACACGAGGGGAGTGGGTGGACAGCACCACACCAGGCCGCCTTTGTCTCCCTAGTAGCGACGTTGACCATATCGCACAAGGGAAGTGTGTGAGGCGGAGTCGACAGCTGCAACGACGCGAGCTCTCTGCTGAAGAAGCCCTCTCGCCGTGGCCACCAGCAGCAGCAGCACCTCGCTCGACACTTGGGCATCTCGCTCCTGAACAGGCTGCTGCTGCTGCTGTAGCTGCTGCTGCTGCTGTAGCTGCTGTAGCTGCTGCTGCTGCTGTAGCTGCTGCTGCTGTAGCTGCTGTAGCTGCTGCTGCTGCTGCTGTAGCTGCTGTAGCTGCTGCTGCTGCTGTAGCTGCTGTAGCTGCTGCTGCTGCTGTAGCTGCTGTAGCTGCTGCTGCTGCTGCTGTAGCTGCTGCTGCTGTAGCTGCTGCTGCTGCTGCAGCTGCTGTAGCTGCTGCTGCTGCTGCTGTAGCTGCTGTAGCTGCTGCTGCTGCTGTAGCTGCTGCTGCTGTAGCTGCTGCTGCTGTAGCTGCTGCTGCTGTAGCTGCTGCTGCTGTAGCTGCTGCTGCTGTAGCTGCTGCTGCTGCTGTAGCTGCTGTAGCTGCTGTAGCTGCTGTAGCTGCTGCTGCTGTCGCTGCTGCTGTAGCTGCTGCTGCTGTAGCTGCTGCTGCTGTAGCTGCTGTAGCTGCTGTAGCTGCTGCTGCTGTCGCTGCTGCTGTAGCTGCTGCTGCTGTAGCTGCTGCTGTCGCTGCTGCTGTCGCTGCTGCTGCTGTAGCTGCTGCTGCTGTAGCTGCTGTAGCTGCTGCTGCTGTCGCTGCTGCTGTAGCTGCTGCTGCTGTAGCTGCTGCTGCTGCTGCCGCCCATCACACGCCTGTGCGAGCATAGCACATGTGCTATGGGGAGGGGGCCCATTGCCAGAAACGTCGCCTGTTACGTATATATTTATTTTACGGCCACACACACACACGTGTTCTCGATGAATGTGTGAGCGGATGATGTTGATCGTGAATGTGCCGCATCGCCAAGTAGTTTGTTTCATTTTGCGAGCACAAGGGAAGTTGGTGTCTGGGCGTTTCGCGCGGTGATGAATCCACCCAAACATCCCTTCAACTGTTTGGTCACTCCGTTGTTTGGGCAACTTTTGGAAACGAATAATGAAGAGAGGCAATAGACTGACCGGGTGTAGCCTCAGTGGTAGGATGTTAACTCGCTCGCCCAGTATACAAGAAGTCGTGGGTTCGATCCTGACCCTGACGCCTGCTGAATATGTTTGGAGTTTGCAGCTTGGAGTGTCTCTCTCCCAGTGCTCGCCTTGATTTCTCTGCGGGTCCTCCGGGGTTCCCTCCACATTTAGAATCAACGTCACGCGCTTCGAGCATTTGGCTGCTTTAACTTTCCAGATAATAAGCCACCTTGTTGGGCTATCAGTTGTGACCAGGGCACTTCTGATAAGGAGCTGTATCGCTCAGTGGGCCTTACCTGGTAAAATATTTTTTTTTTAATCAGATGCGCGTGCGTACGAGAGTGTGGGTCACTTTGTATTACCATTACATTGAGCTGGTCAATGGGTCAGGATAATTTGTGTTTTACGCGTAGGCGCAGTGCATCGCTTTGGTAATTATACCTCCTTCATATAGATCTCTGTGTGAGTTACTGGATCTTTATGTGCGTCTATGGTTCTGTATGTGAATCTACTGATCTCTGTGTGAGTTTATGGGTCTCTATGTGAGTCTATGGGTCTATGTGTGAATCTGTAGATCTCTGTATGAGTCGATGGGTCTCTATGTGAGTGACAGGGTTCACACTGCAGGGTTCACGTGGCAGGGTTCACGCGGCAGGGTTCACGTGGCAGGGTTCACGTGGCAGGTTCACGTGGCAGGGTTCACGTGGCAGGTTCACGTGGTAGGGTTCACGCGGCAGGGTTCACGTGGCAGGGTTCACGTGGCAGGGTTCACGCGGCAGGGTTCACGTGGCAGGGTTCACGTGGCAGGTTCACGTGGTAGGGTTCACGCGGCAGGGTTCACGTGGCAGGGTTCACGTGGCAGGGTTCACGCGGCAGGGTTCACGTGGCAGGGTTCACGTGGCAGGTTCACGTGGTAGGGTTCACGCGGCAGGGTTCACGTGGTAGGGTTCACGTGGCAGGGTTCACGCGGCAGGGTTCACGTGGCAGGGTTCACGTGGCAGGTTCACGTGGCAGGGTTCACGTGGCAGGGTTCACGTGGTAGGGTTCACGTGGCAGGGTTCACGCGGCAGGGTTCACGTGGCAGGGTTCACGTGGTAGGGTTCACGTGGCAGGGTTCACGCGGCAGGGTTCACGTGGCAGGGTTCACGTGGCAGGGTTCACGTGGCAGGTTCACGTGGTAGGGTTCACGCGGCAGGGTTCACGTGGGAGGTAATGGCGCCCGATGATCGCGGCGTCGCGTAGACGCGAGCTCAGCTGATGGAGGCGTCCATCAATCGATTTGCCCAGTCGATGAGGATATTAATTAGACATATTAATTAGACATATTAATTAGACATTAATTAGCGCATCGATTAGGAGGCACGCGTAGGGAAACGTCAGCAGAGGGTTGTTGTGTGTGCTGGTGGAATGGCTGGCATCACGGACTTGGCCGGTTCGACTCCGTGTGGTCTCTGTGAACCCATATGGAGTCGAACCACGGGGAGACGCGGTTGGAACAATGGGAGTACGCTTCTTAAATCTCCCGTGCCTCTGTCTCCCCAGCGGTGTGATTAGCTTCACCCCAGCCAGCCGGTCTGCGGGTCACATGCCGTGGGGTAGAACGTGGGTTATGAGCCACCTCTCCCGAGGCGTTTGCTGAGCGTGGCAGGGTATGAAAGTGGTACATGGTGGCGTAGGTTGTTGACTCATCAGGACACTGTCTGTTGCAACCCTGAGGTCACCCGGTTGGACCTCCCCGGTGTGAAAGTTGGAACAGCGGTGTCAAGCCTCTTCAATCCCTCCACCTTCTGTCCAGTTGGAGTGAGTCGCTGGGCGGGGCGCACGCGGCGGAGTCGAAGCGTGGCCACTCTGTGGGACATCCCTTGCCAGTGTCAACATCTAACAAGAGGTTTTACCCTTTCTGGCAATCAAACCGTTGTGTTAAGATGTTAAAACACCAAACAGAATACGTTTTCAAGGAATCCCGTCACTGCATTAGCCACACGTATTGTGGCGAACATGCAAACCAAACAGGTCCCATATTGGAGCTGCTCACCCCGAGCTACGAATGCCCTGACAGTGGCATCGTCTTCGTGCTCTTTGCTATTTGGCGTCCTCTGGTCTGACACTTTGAGACGAGGCTCAAAAGAAAGATGTCTCTGGTGTGGACCAATCAGCTTCAAGGACAATGCATCATCTACGACCAGAGCGTGTTTTATTTGCATGTTCACCACAAGTACCGTGTGACTCATGCAGGCACGACTCGCCGGGCATCAGCTGTCGCCTGAGCATCTGCGTGGGGCGCCGCGGGGGCGAGACGTTGACTCCCTCGTCTGCTCTACAGGGGGTCCTGGGCTCGATCCCGACCCTGACGCCTGCTGCTGCTGCTGCGTATTTGGAGTTGCATTTCTCTCTCCCCGTGGTCGCGTGAATTTTTCTCGGTGTCCTCCGGGTTTCCCCTTCACATTTAAAATCAACACCTCCTCGTGTTTAGAGTATTTGGCTGCTCTAAAGATCCACATCGACAAGCCACTTCGTTGAGTTGTCATTTGTGGCCAGGTAGCTTCTGAAGAAAGCTGTATTGCTCAAGAAGACTTACCTGGTAAAATAAAAGTTGTTTATATTCAATGTTCCCAATACGGGACAGCGCAACCCTTTCACGCGTTCCATTGAGTTGCATTGCACTGTAAAGGTGCAGCCCTGTAAGAGCTTGCTTATGGCACTGCTGGCAGAATGGACTCCACTCGACGAAGCCCTCGAGATTCCCCCTGGAGGGAGCTCTTGAGAGCCCCCTGGAGGGAGCTCTTGAGAGCCCCCTGGAGGTTACTTTTGGCCGAATCTGTCACGCTGGCTCAGTGCGTCTCGTAAGAGGCGGAAGTGCCCAACACCTTACCCCACCACGCACCTTACCCCACCACGCACCTTACCCCACCACGCACCTTACCCCACCACACACCTTACCCCACCACGCACCTTACCCCACCACACACCTTACCCCACCACGCACCTTACCCCACCACGCACCTTACCCCACCACACACCTTACCCCACCACGCACCTTACCCCACCACGCACCTTACCCCACCACACACCTTACCCCACCACGCGCCTTACCCCACCACACACCTTACCCCACCACACACCTTACCCCACCACGCATCTGACCCCACCACGCACCTTACCCCACCACACACCTTACCCCACCACGCACCTTACCCCACCACGCACCTTACCCCACCACGCACCTTACCCCACCACGCACCTTACCCCACCACACACCTTACCCCACCACGCACCTTACCCCACCACACACCTTACCCCACCACACACCTTACCCCACCACGAACCTTACCCCACCACACACCTTACCCCACCACGCACCTTACCCCACCACGCACCTTACCCCACCACACACCTTACCCCACCACCACCTTACCCCACGCACCTTACCCCACCACGCACCTTACCCCACTACGCTCCTTACCCCACCACACACCTTACCCCACCACGCACCTTACCCACCACGCACCTTTCCCCACCACGCTCCTTACCCACCCACGCACCTTACCCCACCACGCACCTTACCCCACCACGCACCTTACCCCACCACACCACCTTACCCCACCACGATCCTTACCCCACCACACCCCTTACCCCACCACGCACCTTACCCCAACACGCACCTTACCCCACCAAGCACCTACCCCACCACGCACCTT